TCCCAGCAATGCTCTGCAGATAACAATCCCAGTGTGCATTGCTTTGGCAAACTGAAGTCATTTGCCCTTTCAAAGCAGGAAGTGAATGCTCTGCAAGTGTCAGTATTTCAAAATCACAGCAGTTTACACCTGACATATCTATGTTGTTATTATTAAATCATACATAGAGGGATGCATTGGTAGAATTTGATTTTTGAGTGTAAAGGTCCGCTTTCACAAAACGGGACCTTATTTGTGTATCATTCAGCTGTAGATCCTCAAATCATCTCTGAATTCATGCCGACACTGTCCTTCCTGCTGGAGGGTGGATACTTTTGTTCCCCGTGTGTGTTGTGAAGTAGCGACCACTCCAAGCTCACTTCTGTGATGGACTACAGTCTCATGTTTAGTTTACCAATTTGTATTGGGATTGTAGTCCATCACGGGAGCTAGCTTGGAGCGGCGATGATTTGAGGATCCACAGCCGAGTGATGCACAAATAAGGGGTTAAAGGTCCACTTTAACATTTTTGTTAAAGTGGAGCTTTACCCCCTTTTAATAACAAAAACATAAGCATGCAGCTCTGCATGTGGATTTAAAAATCACATTACATTAGTTAAACTTGTTTTTCATTTACTTACAAATAGAGTTAATCTAATTCCTAGTCTAGTTCTGGCACAAATGATGTAATGTGCCCAAGCATTGCATCCTGGGAAGGTTACATTAGCAGAGCATTGCTGGGAAATTTAATCTGTAATCTCACGAGATCTCAGGGAAAGGCATTTTCCTCCCCTGAGATGATGTGCATGGTCACATGTCCTAGTCACATGTGCTATAGTTCCAGGAAGTAAAGGGAGATATATTTGTCTGCCCTTAGTAAACATGGCCACCATCAGAAGACTGGGGAAGAAGATAGAAATAAGGTATGCACAGAATACAAAGCCGGCAATTATCTATAAGTATGTGTGTGTAGATTGTCATTCCTAAACATTTCTAAAAGTGTGTTTGTTACTTTAAAGATATGGGTAACGGTCTGCTTTAATATGCTACTTGAATACATTTTTAAGAGTCAACTCCTGAGTTTAGGTGTCACTTAAAATGAAAATGAGACCAGCAAACCACATGAGCGCTGGCTGCAGCGTTCACACCTGAACGTATTTTTTCAGCTCGTTTGTTCCGTTCAGTGAAACATGCTTTTCACTGACGGTATGATTTTTCTTATTTTCTTTTAAAAAATTGTTTTGTTTTCGCTTTCAAACTTCCCGCCGGCTCCGCCCCCCTGCAATGCGGCCGCTCACAAGGGACGGAACCCGGAAGTCGGCAGCCGCTGGAGGACACAGCGCGATCGTGGACAAGGTAAGACCTGTACGCTGTATTCCAGAGTGTCGCTCGGGGTTACCGCTTTGTTAACCCCGATCCACACCCCGGGGTTTGGTCTGTTAAATATTCCATTGAAAACATCTATTTGATAAGTGTAAACATAAAAACAATGAACAATGTTACCTTCCATGCAGCATAAAATGCATGAATGGCAATCACTGACCCCTTACCCCATACAATATTACAATTTATATACATAGTGAAACATTGCTCAGAGATAGTGCCAGCTACCAGGATTAGAAACAAGACCAGGGACCAATAATCAAGCTCTAGGAAAGAACTCCATGTGTCAAATTTAACATGACGTTTCTGTTAAACTTTTATTTACAGTTACTTTTGAGCACAACTGTGTATCACATATCAAGCATGTCAGCTATATGTAACGTCTGCAATGATACACCTGCTGACAGAATGGCCACTAGTCATTCAAATACTACTACAGGAAATGTGTCATGTATGAACGTATGGAGGTCAAGGTAAAGATTTCATACATATTACATCCAGCTAGATCATTTACGTTTGGCAGAGAAAGATGGAGATTGTTGGCGCACCATGGCATTGTAAAAGTAGCGGGGTGTATGTGTTAGGATGGTTCAAGGTAAGACATGTCGCACTTTGTCACAGTGCGTCCAAAGAGTGCTATAATGCATCATAACGTGCTGCCGTGCTAACAGTTAGAGTGTTCAGTTAAATGAAGGTGCAAGTTACAAAAAAAGGGAAAAGCAAGCACTGTGATGCATTATAGCTCACAAGTGTTCTGTGCTCCTTAATGCCTGCTTGCTGGTGTGAATGAGCCCTAAAAAGGTTACAGCAAAGACTGCTTTCTAACAGCTCAGAAACACCAGCTGATTGTTTACATCAGAAGACTGGGAGCCTGCCAAGATTCTGCTCTCCACAGATCTCCCAGCCGAGGCTGGGAACTTTATGCTGGGTTCACTGTTCTACCGCTGTAAAGGAAATGTGTGCTTGATGCGTTAGTGCCCCAATGCATCTTGCCAACGATTGTAAGCTGCAGTGTTCCACAACACAAGGTAATGCACTACAGTCCGTTATAGTGCACTGCCTCTACCTTTTTGGTGCGTTTGGTGGTCACGCAGTTTATTTAAAATGTATGAACTCCCTTAACGCAATGTGCATGTGTTAATGCACTGCTACAGTATAGACGCAGCTTTAAAGTAGTATTAGGCCCCGTCCCACTGCGCGATATGCAAATCGCATGTTTGTCACGCGATTTGCATATTGCGCGACATCGCGAGATTTGCCGCGTGATGTCGCGTTCAAGCTTGCATTGAGCTCCAAAAAGGGTCCTGCTGTAGCGACACACGACCCGCGACAGCAGGACCCTTTGCCCCATTGGATTGCATTGGAGCGCGATATCGCGCGGTAATTTGCCGCGATATCGCGGGAATTACCGCGCGATAAATCGCTCAATGTGAACGGGGTCTTAAGGTCTGGGTATTTTTTACCTTAATGCATTCTCTGCATTAGGGTAAAAACGGCCCAGTACCTTTTTTTCTCTCCCAGTCCCCCCCACAGTTACATGTCAGCTACGCTCGTCCCCGCCAGTCCCGAAGCGTCCCTTCGTTCCCCGAACTTCCTGGTTGCAGTGGTAGGATACTGATGCCAGAGGAGCCATAGGCTCACTCTGCCATCAATCAAATTGTTGGGTGGAGAGGAGGGGCGTGGTCTGCCACAGGGCGTGCATGAGCGTGTACAGGACCTCCATTAGCCGATAGAGGCACCCGTGTAGGGGGCGGGGGGGACGATTGCTGCGCGGAGCCACTACAAACTTTTAAAGGAAAACTGCAACAGCCTCAATCAAAGTTAGCTCTCCTGGTAGAAAATATGTTTTTTTAAATAGGAGGCTTTAATATCACTTTGAAGCTCAATGACACCACAATTCCTAGAGCTACATAGATGAATGAGGATTTGTTTTATATCATTTCTGCTTGTTAAGCATATGTAAACAGCTTAATGTGTGTAGTCTAGGCAGAGGCTCACATAAAAAATCTGCAACTTTAAATTAAAAGAATACCTGGTGATCATGCCATAAACATCCTTGTGCATGCACTTCCTGTTACAGGATGACAAAGCTCTGTACTGTTTTCCTGCGTTGTCACACACTTCTCCAATGAAAACTACAAGCAGCTGGGCACAGCTACAGTCCATTGTTGTCTCCATCAGGAAAGCCAACCTGAGAAATGACATACAACCATTGCTAGAGGGCATGCATGTACACACATGCAGGTGTGATGAAGTGGCTGCAAAGAGGTTGCAAGAGATCAGTAACACCAAAATGCAACAGAGAATGGAAAGAGGGAACATTATTTCCATTGCCATTTTAATGACAACTGCTTAGGGCCTGGTCACACCAGATGTGTCAGTGCTCACGCACAGACATAAGTAGCATACGCCTGTATTTGTGGCAATCAGGAGCTGTGCTCATAGGAATGTATTAAGAATACACTGGAGCCATTGCTCATGGCAACCAATCAGCTTCCATCTTCAATTTGGTGAGTTCAGCTTCTAAGTTTCATTTTCAAAGCTTATTGCCTGCCATGAGCAACTGCTGTTAACAAAAAACCACAATGGGGACAATGCATAAAAACTGGGAGCAGTTGCCCATAACAACCAATCAACATCGCGTTTTCAGTTTGTTTGGAGAAGATCTAAAAATAAAACAGATGCCGATTGGTTGCCATGGGTAACTGCTCCAGATTCTGTTTCATGAATTCCCCCCAAAGGGAGGAATTTATCAATATGGAAAGAGACAGAATTTGGAGCAGTTGCTTAAGTGAAAAGCTACACCGGGTTCTGTCTGCTCCAGTTTTGATAATTTCCCCTCAATGACAAGGAGTATATTGAAATATGTGGTGAACTGTTTACAGTAAACGGCAGAGAGAACGTTAGAAGACAGGAGAGCAGTATACAGGCCCCTCCCCCAGAGAAATGTCCGCTGACAGGGCACAGGCTCGTGTCTCTTTAAAGCTCCAGCACATGTAGGTGCATTGTGAGGCCCCCAGTGTGAGTGGTCAGTGCGCATGCTCAGAACGACGGCGGCGAACGGGTGTCACTGGCAGTCAGAGCCCCGGGCAACACCAGCCAAGGGCTGGCACACAAAGGGGAGGGGGGGGACACAAAACACCACACAAGCAGAAAGTCCAACCGGAGGCTGCACCCGGAGCTTATCTGTCACCCACACACAAGTGTCTGTACATGGAGGTCCTGACAGGAGAAAAACAAAGAGGCGCCCCAAGACTATCTATGTAGGTGTACATTACAAAGGGGATCTCCCCTAGACTAGCTTATGACGGCAACGTCTTTCCCGTGTCCGGAATCCCCTCTTCTGACCCTGTGACCAACACGTCCCCTCCTGTGCCTGTCAGCCGTGCCTGCTGGTCTCTCACGCACACCCGGCAGCTGCCTCTAGCGGCTGCCCCCTCCCCCTCTCTATGGCAACGCTGCCCCCTCCTCAGAGCGCAGCCGTCTGCCCCGAGGTACCCGTCCCTTCTCCTCACACGGGGCAGGCAGGGGAGACGAACACACAGAGCCCGCAGGCATACAGCGAGTGACACTGTCCCTTTATGAGCAGCCCGGCTCCCCTCCCTCTCCCCTTGTTACCCCCGGGAGGAGGACATTACCTGCTAACTGCCTCCGCAGCAGGAGCGCCGACTGCGGCTCCGTCATGCTATACCGATCAGTGCTGGCCGACAACAGGAACGGGCGACTCACAAGAGGAGGGAGCAGCTGGTCCGAGCCGTCACCTCTTTCTCCCTCCCCGGCTCCTCACTCTCTCCGTCCCTATCACTCTGCGCTCGGAGCCTAGCGGGCATGCGCGGATATAGCCCTTCCCCCCACACCGTGACCTATACACTGTGCGATGGGGGGAAGGAAACAGAGTGCCGCCATCTTGGGGAGGTCGTATCGCGGTAGACATTTTAGGGAGGTCAGAATAACGTGGGCACTGTGCTGAGCACTGCTCATTGAATCCGTGGACTGTAAAACAGAGACACATATCAACATGGTGATCACTTCACCATTGTTCTCAAGTGATCAGTCAGTGATTGGATGATGAGTTCCAATTAGAAAGGCATGGATGGGACTATAGCTGGCCTTCACTATTTTACCCCTGTTCACGCTTGCAAAGAGTCGCATGGCACAATTATGGGGGAATTTATCAAAACTGGAGCAGACAAAATCTGGAACAGATTTGCACTGCAACCAATCAGCTTCTATTTCTTATTTTTAAATCTCAAGTGAGAAAACTGAAGAGAGATGCTGATTGCTTGCCCAGGGCAATTGCTCACGTTTCTGTCTGCTCCAGTTTTGATAAATCCCCCTCCTATGTGTTTTTGTTGTGCTTCGGACATAGTGCAGCCCCTTCATTTGTACCAAAGAGTTCCTGTGCCATGGCGTCACTCTCACAAGTCAGTCTAATTCATGATGTTGTCAGGTAGTGATGAGCTGGGACTTGGTGCAAATCCTGTTCGCTTGAGTTCTCCAAAGCCCGTGCAAAACTGTGACTGTGATACCCCCTCCCAGGCCAATCAGTTGCAGCAGGCCATTCCTCGGCCCTATGTGACGTGTAGCTGCGGGGTGGGTAATGCCCATGCCGCAGCTGATTCGGCCTGGATGCGGGTGTCAGTCACAGTTTTGCATGGGCTTGGGCAAACACAGGCAAACCGGTGAACCCAGTTGATATTGATAACAAGACCTCACACATCACCACTGTTAGATACTTCTCAGCTGCCTTGCAACTGAAGGGCAAATCAACTTTGCGCCCCACCAAGTAGCTGCAGAAAATAAAAAAAATTGCAAGAAAAACGTTAATAAATATAATCAGGCTTCTGTATCATGGACTAATGACAGTATGCGCTTTCTAAGGCCCCCTTGTACACGGCCAGTCCGTTCGGTTCCACTTGTCAGTTTTTCAAGTCCCCCATCAGATATCCAACGTATGTCTATGGCCAGCCTTGTGTAAACAGACGGGTGTCCATCTACACACGCTTACCCCCGACTCTGGCCAGGTCCGGAAAAGCAAACGGAACAGTATTCGGTTCGCCAGACTGGATTGCGCCAGATCGGGGGTAATCTGATGTAAATGGACACATATCCCCTTACATCTGATTCCCCACTGACTGGCACGGGGTCCGGTTATTGCAGTTTTTTCTGCCATTTCACAGCGGTGGCATCTGCTCCGTACTGCTGTTAGAAGATCCGTGCACAGATCCCCTCCTGATCAGCCCATATGACTGGGGCCTTATACAAAACCAGGATATGCTGAGAAGTTCAAATCTCACAGGATGACATATTTGGGTTACTTAGCCTTCCCCAGGATCTCACCAGAAGGAGGAGGGAAAGGTACGTGTATTTATTTATTTATTTATTTTTAGCTTTCAACATTTTATTGTTTTCATCAAAACACAAAATCACAAAATACAACATTACTCAAGAAAAAAAAACAAACAAAAAAAAGAAGCAAAAGCCTAATTACATTAATAAACACAGACATTGTACTTTGTACCCGGCAGGTTTCTTATATTCCATCTCACCCTGCAGAAGTATAGGTTGCTGATATGGTTTCTTAAGACCTCCTCGTAGGAACTTCCTTATTGGTCCCCGAGTGAAGATTCAATCTTGAATCACTATTTTCCTCCCGGGTTTACTTTAGGCACATATTAATAGCATTATTTTATTAGCAAGCCAATCAGTAACCGTTAATATTAATATAAGAATAGTTACTGCCCTGAAATCCTCACCAAGCATCTTTAACACAAAACCAAGGGGCTCAATAAGCACTCATTATGCATGAGTGCTTATTGTTGTGCTAATGTTGTGCAACATAAACATTTGCAACTACCACAATTTTATTCTACAGGGTCTTGGCTTTCAGATTCAACCTCTGTAACATTTCCAAAATACGCCCCTTTTTAACAAACGAAACCACAAAGCTTCTAATTCACTCCCTTGTAATCTCTCGTCTCGAGTACTGTAACTCCCTCCTCGTTGGCCTACCACTAAGCGAGCTATCCCCCTTCAGTCTATCATGAATGCTGCTGCCAGACTCATCCACCTTACCAACGGCTCAGTGTCTGCCGCCCCTCTCTGTCAATCCCTCCACTGGCTCCCACTTGCCCAACGAATAAAATTCAAAATACTAACAACAACATACAAAGCCACCTACAACTCCGCCCCAACCTACATCACTGACCTCATCTCAAAATATCACCAAAACCGTCCTCTCCGCTCCTCTCAAGACCTCCTGCTCTCTAGCTCTCTAATTACCTCCTCCCACGCTCGCCTCCAGGACTTCTCCAGAGTGTCCCCCATCCCCTGGAACTCCTTAACCCATTCTGTCTGCCTATCTCCAACGCTGGCCACCTTTAAGCGATCCTTATAAACCCATCTCTTCAGGGAAGCCTATCTATCTCATCTCACCTTTTACTTCCTCCAATAACTCAATCCAAACAATTATTACCTTTTGTACCACCTGCCCCTCCTACTAGATTGTAAGCTCCCATGAGCAGGGCCCTCCTAACCCTATTGTTCTGAAACTGTATTGTATTGTAAATTGTATTGTAACTGTACTGCCTCCACTCTTTTGTAAAGCGCTGAGCAAATTGTTGGCGCTATATAAATCCTGTATAATAATAATAATAATGTTTGGGGGGTTTTCATTAATTTTCAGGCTTAAAATGTGGATTATAACATGTAAACAAAAAAAAAAAGAAGAAAAGGCCTTTGTCCTTAAAGGGTTAAACACGGTTGCATTTACATGTGTTAGCTTGTGTAAAACATATTCTGTCCATTCAATTCTATGAAAACAAAGACGCAGCAGCTGGGGCTTCTGAGAGCCAGAAAAATGCAGCTCTATGCCCATACGCCTGTACTTATGTTTATATTCCCTTACGCCTGGTTCACACCTAGGCGTTTTTGAGCAGTAGTAAATGCACCTTTAACTGTCCAACACAAGAAATCTTATGATTTTCAATGACCTTCACACCTGAGCAGCAAAACGCCAGCAGGAAGACGTCAAATGCAGAAAATGGCTTCTTTTGGTAGCTTCAAGCTTGTTTTTCTGCCATAGCCTTCAATGGAAACTACAAAAAACACAAGGCAGAAGCATGTTGCACATTTTCATGTGCGTTTTTGAGCGTTTGTACGCGCATTCATTTTTCCATTGACCGCAAGTTTCTTACGCTGCCAGTCAAAACACGCGTCTTCATGTCCGTGCGTTTTCACGCATGTAAACATGTGCCAAACACACCTATACAAGCAAATAACTGCACGCTAAACACGTGAGGAACAAACGCACAAAAAGAATGCCACTTAGGTGTGAGCCAGGCCTTACACTGAGGGCCACGTCACACTAGCAACTTTGTAACAGCTATACATTTCTCTGTTTATTGCTTCTGGTGATTTGTAGCTGGATTCAGAGTTGCTGCTGTCACTGGTTAGTGTTACAATGCTGATCTCTTTAGCTACAAATCACTAGTGTGCCAGTATCATCAGCGTCTGCCTTGGATTAAATGACTAGCTACTAAAGCTGGCAATTCTTTCGACCATCTGCAAACGCTGCACAAACTCATTTGCTCAGCAACTTTAACAGTGTGTACCTATACTGACCATAAAGACCATGAAATAATAGTATTGCAGAGCAATCACAGGTGCTTACAGTCTCTGGCTTACAAACGTGACTCCTAGAGACAGAGGCATGATGGCATTTACAGTTTCACCAGAGCTGGGGTGCCAAGGTTGTCTGCCCCTGGTTTAGGTAATTTCTTTAAAACTTGTTGACCCCAAAGGCCCAAACACTTCATCAAGTTTGGAATGTTGACTGCATTTTAGAGTAAAAAATAAATATATACTAAAATATAACAGATTCCTCAATCAACGCTTACAAGCGTGGGTGAAGGCATCCCCTTCCATTTTGTATTGTATTCTGACAACGGGCGCCGGAGGTCCATTGATACGAGGTGTTTTGAGGTTTGACATCAGGACTAGGGATTGCTGGGTCTTGGCAGTGGATACCGTGGTGACTGTGGCATCAATCATCCAGATATTCTGTTCCAAGGACCAGTATTCCACTCTGATTTTCAGTCACATGGCTGTTGAAACCCAGGTCCTGAAGGACAGAGGCCTTTCGGATGCTGTCATCCCTATGCCCCGTAAAGCTTGCAAAATTGACCTCCTTCTAGGTCTACTATTGCACCTGGAAGGCTTATTTTGCTTGGTGCAAAGCCAGGCAATTCCATCCTAAGAAGTACTTGGTTGGATGCATTTTATCTTTTCCCCAGTCTGGCCTGGACCAGTGTTTATAGTGCCATCAAGGTTCAGATCACTGCCTTGGCAATTTTCTTCCAGCGACCAATGAAGGCCTTTGTTTACCATGTCTTGTCCTCCACCTCATATGTGCTCTGGTAACATCCGTGGGACATCACCCTGTTTCTGTTGGCTTTACAGAGGCTGCACTTTGAACCGCTCAAAGATATCCCTGTGACCTTACTCCCTTGCATGATGGCCTTCCTCATTGCCATCACTTCTGCTAGGGGTGTTTCTGAATTCTGACATTCCAGTCTTGACTTGTGAGGAGCCTTTTCTAGTCATCCACAAGGATAAAGTTGTGTTGAGGCCCAAGGAGGGGGAAAAGGTCCACTTTAATGTGTTCAGACAGCATACAATCAGATACACTGTACATTGGTATGGTATGACTCAAGGGATACCAGCAACCAGTTTCCTTGAACTACTGAAATATGCCACAGTCTGCTGCAATGTTTACAGCCTTTTCTAAAATTTAATTTGTCCTGGCTGTTCCTGTGCAGTTGATTCTTGTATAATTTTATGGGGCCATC